AAATAACTATATCTTATTGCCAACAAAGAATTGAGGTTGTTCCTTACAATAGGCATTTGCATTGATTTTTTGTCGTTTTTGAGCTTCTTTTAGTTGTACCTTTATTGTTGTATATAGCTTAAATAAAAAAATTATCAAATCTTTTACCATAAGATTACTAATTTATGAGAATTTAAAAGCATTAAATTATAGATGATAACCATAATTATTAAAGAAAAGTATTTGTTCAATACAAGTATATATTATGTTATTATGAGCAAATTTTACCAATGACAAAAGAATTGTCCAATAATCTTATTGATAATTGATGGTACATCTCAAATACTACTCTATAACTTGATTTACATATTTTATTTGTCCGATATTTTGAAGATGAAAAGCCAAAGATAGTTTTATATCTATCTTTAGAATCTTTAAAAAAACAAAAAACAAAAAAAAAAAAAAAATCTTAATATAAATTGAGTTCTTTTATTTGATATAATATTCCTTGATAATCCATGATAGTGATAGATATTATCAAGAAAAAATTTAGTTGTTTCTTTACATGTGATAAAATTTATATATAATACAAAATGAGCCATTTTGATAAAATAATTTACTATCATAAATATAAAATCATCAAAACGTGAGACTAGAAGAATTATAATAAAATTTATAGAAATAAAAGACTATGGTTGTTTTGAAATAAGTAATGGCTGAATAAGTCCATAAGTCCAATGACAATGAGTTTTTGATCTTAAAAAAATGTCACATGATTATCCAAAATCTTTAATTACCCTCTATATTAGAAGCCACCAAGAAATAAAAAATATTTTTCTTTTTTATTAATTAAAAGCTATATCTTTTTTTTTTGTGCAAGATAAAAATATTTTAAAATAATATTTGATAAACTTATTATTTTTTATAATTGATAAGTGATCTTAAAATCAAATCTTAATAAAGATTGGACATATATATAATGATTGGATTGGAAGCATCTTTTAGATAATGACGCCATTCTTAAAATGAATCTACAATTGCAAGAAGCTCTTTATTGTGGATCTTATAGTTGATCTCAATTCCTAAAACTTTTTTAAAATAAAAAGCTATTGGATAGAATTTGTAAGTCCAAAAGGCATGACATTGTATTCAAAATATCCAAGACAAAGTTTAATGCCTTTATTTTCATACATAATACTTTAAAAAATTTGAAAAGATAGAAGATTGGTATAAAAATAGATATTATCTTCAAATCATTAAAAATTACTTTGGCTTCTTTGTTCTACTTAAGTTTATCTTTACATATTAAAAATTTAATTAAAAATATATTTTAAGGAAAAAATCTTAATGAAGATTTAATAATAAATAACAAATTTAAAAAAAATATTTAACATCTTTTAGTATTTTTAAAACCTTTCAATCTATGATTTTTTTAGCTTTTTTAAGATCCATTATAAAATCATCATTTGAAATGATATATTATAAGAAGTCAACTTAAATAGTATAAAATATTAAATATTTTTTATCTTGATTTATAAGCTTATATCTTTAAATTTTTTTAATATATAAAAAATATAAAATTCATAATTTTTTGTATTTTTAGAATAAATTAAGATATTTTTAAATAACAAACAAAAAAATCATTTAAAAAAATTTAAAAGATATCATTCATAAGATGTTGGAAAGCAGCTATGAAATTTGTAAGTCCAAAAATCATGAAATTATATTCAAAATATTCATATTTGATTTAAAAAAAATTCTTTCATTTATCTCTTTCTTTGATGCATAGTAGGTTGTATGTTCAATATAGATCTATTTTAATATAGATCTTAATTCAACTCAATTGATCAAAAAGTCTTGATATCAAAGATAGAAGATATCTATTCTTTATGGTGATCTTATTGAGTCCTTGATAATCTATATATCTATAGAGATCCATCATTTTTCTTCATAAATAAGATAGAAATTCCAATTGGAGATTTTAAAGGATATATGAAGTTTTTGGCTTAACTCTCGTCAATGTACTCTTTGAATGCAAAGAACTCATTTTACAATATGCTATAGATTAGTCCAAATGGTGGTTGAGCTCACTCTTAAAGATCAATTGAATAATTATATAGATAATAATTTGAAAGAATAGCTTTATTTTTGTTTTCAAAAACATCTCAATAATCTTAGTATTGGGTTGGAATATTATTGAAGTATTTTTGCCATCAAAAATGAATATTTTGTATATAGCAAAAAATGATCATACTTTTACAACATATATGAAAGCACTTGCACCTATCAATAAGGATTTGATTGTTTTAGATTTATGGACTTCTACTTGATTAAAAATATTTTGAATTAAATTATGGAAATAATTAAGGTTCTAAAGAATATAATCTATTTAAAGATTATACTTCTCTAGCCACAATAATCTTAAAATAATTAGATTAAATGGAATTTTAATCACCTTAAATATTACTAAAATATCATGATCTTTAATTGCTATATCTAAATAAATAATTTCATAGATAATACTTCTAAAGGATAAAAAATAACTATTTATGATATCTATATGCATGGATTTATTTTTCTTAACTAATAATATTTCTTATATTTTAACAAAGTCTTTGTTTATAAAAAAAATTAAGGCTCTTAAATCTAATAAGGCAAAGACTTTGTAATTTTTTGGTCCTATACAAACTTCTATTATAAAATAAGATGAAGGATTTGAGGAGAGAATATGACCTTTACTAGGTATTGTATAAGATTTCAACTGCATGGTTCCTATTGTAGCTAAAAAACTTATTTTTTGATACATTATCTTCTTTGGCAACCATGCTCCTCATTTTGTAATTATGTTACTTCTTTACACAATGTTGAATAGTGTGCTTAGATTTTCTTCAATATAAGCACAAATCTACTTGATAATATGAAGTCTTTTTTTGCTTGATAAGAAGTTTGAAATATACTATATTAATTTGTATGGATTTTGGCATTGATGAATAAACTTCTAAAAAATTAAAAATTGTTGCCATAACTTGACTTGTACTTCTTCATCTATATCTTTATTCTTGGCAGTTTTCAAAGAATTAATTATTGCATATAATGTCTTTAGAAATAAATTTCTCTAATAAGTCTATTTTTAGTATTATTAATAATAAATCATTGGTATTATCTTTCAATTCTTATCAAAATTGATTGATAATGATTTTATCATTTTAATCCTTATTGCAAGCAAGGTTTTGGAATTTAGCAATATATATGGTAGCTAAATGTGATCCTTCTTGTATAGATAAAGAGTTTGGTTTCTACTACCTTTTATCAATCATTTTTTCTAAAAACAGTTATAAACACTTTTAGGAATGAATTCAAATCATAGAAAAATCATGAATCTCTTTTCTATCAAAGATAAAAATCAAGAAAGAAGATTCTTAGATAGAAGTGCATATATAAATCCAATTTGAGTAAATTTGTCTAGATATTAGGAATGATACAATCTTAGATAGGACTTTACTTATTGTAGAAATCTTTAAAATTTTGATCTTGCTCTATCAAACTTTTTCATCATACTTATATTTTTCTCCCTCATACTTATAGTAACAAATCTTCTTAGATATTCTAGTGAATTTAATCTACTTGTTTTTCTTAATTGCATAACTTTTTGGCATAGACTTTGAACTTCATTGTTGATTTATTCCATAGACATAAGAATAGTACATGTATTGTTGACATTAAAAATATGTGAGATTTCTACTTTAAGAATATTGACGAGATTGTGAAGATCTTAAATAATTACAAATCTATTTGTACTTTTGTCAAGAGTGGCATCCATAATTCTTTTTTCTACAAATAATTCAAAACAAACCATCAAATCAAATTAAAAGAGGATAATCCTCAACCACTAATATCAAATGAAAATTTCTACAAAGAGAGATAGTCCACTCTTTGTATGAAAAAAATTTAGTGTTAGAAAACTAAAATATTTGTTTTAAAGGTGGATAGTATATAACCATCAAAATACAATAATAGAAATGGGATAATCCATTCACTTCCAAATAAAATAAAAATAATGTGTAAGCACTCTTATCAAACTATCAAAGACATGAATTCCAAACAAATAAAAGCATAATACACTCATGTATTAATTAGAAAGAAAAGATATTTTCTTAAAATTATTATAGTATTGAAATTAGAATGGCTATTGCCAAAGATAAGAAGATTAGAAAGTCTTGAAACAAGACTAAAAATTAAAAAGACGTTGACAAGAGCAAAAAAGACTTTACTCTTGCCTCTATATATACCATCTAACTAAGAGCTATATAGCTATATTTTATAGGATCTTCAACATGTATTCAATTTGCAAGACATGTATCTTTATTTGTAAAATAAGTTTTCTATATGTATGCCATATAGTTAGTTTATATCTTAAGCTACCAACATGTGCAATATATGGCTAACTTTTTGGCCAAATATTCAACCTATCAATCATCTATAGAGTCATATAAAGATGAAACCACATCTATAAAGCTTCTAAGAAGTTTCTTTATAAGATATTATTAAATTAATCTACTTTTATTTATTACTATCTATTCATATTATTTAGATAATTATTAGAATAAATATATATATTTGTGAGAATAAGTTAAAATATTTTAAATTATAAAAGTAATGATTTCTAAAAACTTTAATAATATTCTATATATAAATATGTACAAATATTTAAAATTATATGTATATATATATATATATATATTTATAATTTAGTAAATATAAATAATATTTATTTAAATTTTTATTTTATTTTATTTTCTAAAATATTATTATATGCAATTATAAAGTACAATTCACTTGTATAAATTATTAAATTGGCATAGGATAAGTAAAAAATTTAATCAAATAAACTATATAAATTTATAATATAATTTTATGAATTTATAAGTTAATATTTCATGAATTTTTGTTTTGTTATTTTGCATTTTTATTTAAAAAAAAAAAAAAAAAAAAAAAAAAAAAAAAAAAAAACCCCGGTGGAAAAACTTTGAAGTAGAATATATTAAAATTGAGTAACTTTAGCATACAAAAGATTTGTAGAGTAATTTTAAAAAACATACATTGATTCAAGCACAAAGTCATGGTTTAATTAAATGCATTCTAGCATAGAATTTTGGACAAAGTTTATTTCAACTGCTTGCTACTTCAAAGTTGAATATTTCATTTGATTTTAAATTGTAATAGTGTCTCATTACACATATTTTTGAAATTATTTGATCTTAAGCCCACTTAATTTGGTGGAGAAATAATAAAATTCTTCTATCAACATTGAAATGTCAATTTTTCCAATAGTATTTTGTCAATGTTTGTCAATATGACAAACAAATAATAATTCAAAGCAAAATAAAAAATGATGAGGATTCAAAACTAGGCCTTCTTTGTCTTTGAATTTGTTGTATTTTTTGTATTGTTGTAATCCATAATCTAGAACCACCACCACAAAAATTTCGCGCCCATATAACAACCTTGTCTCATTGCTCTGTCTTAGAGATTTTATGTCATGGCACATCTAAAACTATATAAATTATGTATATAGCTATTTCAGAATGCAGTATTGGGCACTGATTTTATTGCCAAGTCAAAAAAAAAATTATATCTAAAAAATAATAATAAAGATACTTGAATCAATTAAATTTGTAATAGTGGGCTAACATTAATTTTGGTTAGAATACAAATCAACAAAAATAATAGATTTGTTTAATCAATCATGAAAATTATTATAAAAATAAAAATAAAAATAAAAACTTAAATTCTCAAAGGAGTACTATATAAATAAAGAACTGACGTAGTTTTTTACTTACATCCGAAGCATGTTGCATAGTCCTTTTATTTTAAAAAGCTCTACATTCAATAAGAATAATAATAATAATAATAATAATAAATTTTTAAAAAAATTAATAGAAGAATGAATTTTAATTTTTCTGACACTAATAATTAGATAGAAATTATTGATGAAATACAATCTTAAATAGAGATTTAATTAATATGTCAATATATTGTATATAGTTGTATCATTTTACACAGTTTGAGTTACATAACATAATCACAATTGCTGCTCCTATTTCATGTTGGCATTTAATGCCTTTGGTTTTGATGTAGAATTTGATGCAAATTTTCACATTTACATCCTTCAATTCTTAAATATTTACCTAAATATTCAAAAAAAAAACTAATGTTATAGTACATGCATAAATTACATTACTAGTTAATAAAGACCTCTCACTTAAAACAAACTTAAAACCAACTAATCAATATGTATAGAAAGGTCATTTAAATCTTATAATCTTTAATATTTGCATAAAATATTATGGAAAAAATTACAAAAAATTGCATAGGATTGAAGTTTGTTGAATTGAAACTAGCTTTATTATTGAAAACAACCAATATTTTAAAATCAAATTTGTATTTTTTAAATTAAAATATATTATTTTTAATTTTTAATTATATATATATATATATGTGTGTGTGTGTGTGTGTGTGTGTATGTGTTATATCACTATTACTACTATTGTGGTTTTTGGTGAAATTAGAAATCAATACGCTTGTATCATGCTTGGCTACATTTTTTATGTTGATTTTTTTTCATATAAATTAATTATGCATCAAAAATTATGATATCACATGTAATACAAAGCAAGGGCCCTAATGCTAGAATGTGTGTGTATATGTATTATTTATATATATATATATATATATATATATATACACAATATAAATAATATATACATTGCATCACATAATTTTGACATTAGAAATGTTCTTCAAAATGATATTTTACAAATGTATGTTAATAATTATCTAAATCTATTTACTAATATATAACAAACAATGATTTTGTCCAAAATAATTGAGTGAAGACATCAACCTGTATCAATCTCCTAATCAGTAAAGCAATATAAAATGATTCCAGCATAAATTGATATATAGCACTATGCCCATAATAATCAACATCTAACAAGTTTCAATGTAACAGTGTTTAAGTTTATGTTAGATATCAAATACTGATGAGGTAAAACTAGATTCTTACTTCATATTGAATTTAATATTAAGAAATATGTCTCATGTGTATTTATATAGTTTCGCAACCCATAAAGAATTGCAACAAAAGCCTGATATAGGGAAAATAAAAACATTGAGAATACAATAGACCTAAAATTTGAAACTTAATGTATTATTTTAGGGCTTAACAATATTCAATCAAGGTTATTTCAATATTTAATCTTCTTTCTTTAAAAAATCAAGAATAAAAGGTACAAATGTACAATTCTAGGAAAAATAAAATTGTGCTCTTCACTTCACACCATTGTCTTTTAAGATTTTAATTTTTTCTACATATCTTGGCATTTTATTCAAGGTTGACATTGGGTATTCATTTTTTTGTAACATACAATTTGTGTGATTGATTTTTTTTCACATTAATTTTATTTTAAGTACATGTGTTCTTACCTAGAAAAGCATTCCTACGAATGGAATCAATAACAACAGTAACCATAACAAGAAGAATCTGGTAAAACCGTCTTTATAATTGAAATTTTTCATCTTAAAAACTGTATCATTTTCATTTCAATGTGAGTTTTTTTAAGCTTACAATGATTACTAACTCGCTTTAATTTATTTATGATACGTAATAGAAAAAACGAAACCCCATAAATTCACGAATAAATCAACAACTCAATTTTATGATTTTTACTTAGTGAAATATCCAGTAAAAACACATGAACACATACATTATTATTCTGATTACTTTTGTGAATCACATACATCCACTGATAAAAGATCTTGCATGATAATCAGATGTGTGTTAGAAATACAAAAAAGAAGAATTATCAGTTGATCCTCATATTATGTTTTATATCATAATTGTTTCATCAATATTTTTTCCCGTTTTGATTTTGTGTTAGAAATACTGTGAACACATTAAAAATCCAGTTGAATTTGTTTCAGTCAATCTTAGCATTACTTCTTTCTTCTTTTTCTCTCTGTTTTTTTGCTAAATTCTGATTCGAGCATGTATGTTTTATCAAAACTTTAATCCTTTCATAAAATTCAGCGTTGAATCCATGCTTTCTTTTATCATGTCAGCTTTTACTAAATTTTCTATAAAACTAATTTTATCTTCTACATCATCTAATCCATTTACATCTTCTTGAATTGGATGACTAAACATATCAGAATTAGAATCAAAGTTAAATGGATTAGGAATTGGTTTTGATGAACTATCAAAACTTTTGGTATCCCTACATTTATATTTTTTATTAAAAAAAGATTTAGATGGAAGATCTTGTGAAATGCCATCGTTCGATTTGGAATCGAATTCCCGATCTTCATTGTCACTGTTTTGGGATACCATCTCTTGATTTCTACTTTCCAATATAAAAATGATTTCTTCTTCAATTTGGTTCAATTCATTTTCACGGTCTTCAATTTCGTTGATGCATAGATTTTTTATTTTACTTTTTTCTTCACCACTTACTTTTAAATTGTTTAATTCTTCTCGAATGTTGCGAATCTCATGTGCCACAATTGATATTTCTTTGGCTCTTTCTTCGAGAACTTTGCCAATCATTATAGCTTTTGCAGATTTACCAATAGAACAATCTTTTGAATGATGTTCAAATGACGCAATAGATCTTTTAAACTCTTGAAGCCGTTCAAGTCTATTTTTTCTTCTTACAGCTTGGTCCGCTTGTCTTTGATAACTATCTTTATTGCAAACTTTGTTCTGATTACTTGATGAACTTGCATAAGAAGTAGTTTCCATTATAAAGTATCATATAATTACATAATCAATACTACATATGATAATAATTTCAAAAATAATTTGAGGATATTATGTACATGGAGTCATGCGTTCTGTGTTAATTCTTATCAAACTAAATTAATGATTTTATTTTATTTTATTTTATTTTTTTGGTATTCTTTGCTGCAACTCTACTTGGCAAGCAATCTGAAATTATACGAGTGAGAATATCAAAACAAAAATAAAAATAATAAAGAAAACTTAAAGTCTGTAAGGAGACATTTATGTATGCAACAAGGAATTCTTTAAAAACCAATTTGTGATACTACATCTATATATTATTATTTTTTTAAATACCAAACTAGAAAGTCATCATGCAGTTTTTGACATTATTCCTAATCAAAAGTAAGTAAGCATGTACTTACATATTATTGATTTTGAAGACTACAAATTTAATAAAGAAACACTTGTATTTTTTATCCTTAGTTTTCAAAATTATCACAAACAAGTAATTTCACCTTCAAATTGAATTTATTTGTGTTATTATTTATTAATTTTGAAATAATTTCATTTCTTATAAAAAAATTCGTAACAACAAAATCCTTGTGTATGTTTAAATCATTGTAAGTAGTTTTGTTTAAAACAAAGAGGAGGGGGGTAGTGAATTGTGGTGTAAGTTTACAATGGTCTATAGTATTAAAAAATAAATACATAATTCATTTTTTAATTTATTTTTATAATATATAATATTGTGATTTACACACATCAATATATGTAAATGGCAGTTGCACACAAAGAAAGACTCTTCCATTCAGATTCTGTCCATCATTAATACAAGTGAAAATATCATCCATCTCCAGTCTGTCCACCCCGACCATGTAAACCCCTGGGTTTACATAAACAGAGAGGGGAGTCAGTGTAAACCCAGGGGAAGCACCACAACTTAGGGTTTCTCTTGTGATTCGGGCTCCTCTCCGTCGTCGTCGTCGTCGTGGGCGTCGAGGAGGCTCAATCGTTGCCGGGCGTGATCGAAGCCGGCATTAGCAAAATCATGTTGATCCCGAAGAAGAATCGAGTGGAGGTGTACAAGTACCTCTTCAAGGAGGGCGTCCTTTACGCAAAGAAGGACTTCAATGCGCCCAAGCACCCGGAGATCGATGTGCCCAACCTTCAAGTTATCAAACTCATGCAGAGCTTTAATTCTAAGGAGTACGTCAAAGAGAATTTCGCATGGCGTCACTACTACTGGTGAGTTGAGAATTCTGCTTTCGCAGTGCCGGGGGTTGGGCGTGTCAACAATGTGGATCGGAAAAAAAAGAAAGAATGGGTTGGGGCTTGATACATGTAGCTTTAAGAGCCGTGGAACGTTGTTTGATATTCCGTAGTTTTGCGCATTGTAACTCAAACCCTAGTTCTTACGTTTGTGCTGTCGTTACTATCTGATTGTGAAAGATTTAGGGTTTAATGACATGTCAGTGGAAGGAGCGCATGCTCTGTAATTATCGAACTGAACGACTAGTATGTGCGATCTAGTCTTCATCGCCTCCCCTTAATTTCGATATAAGGTATACATGATGACACGATTGAACCAACGGATTTTGTAGAAGCGTTGCATGGATGTTATTGAGCTTTAGTTTTTGAGGTACTCTTGATGCGCAGGTGTAACAAGATAGGTTTACAATGGCTTAGTAAACAAACAGGAGTGCTTTCTTAGTGTACTTTGACAATCATGCACTCATGCCATCATCAAGAGATTGTCGCATTTTACAATTCAGCTGATGTGTGTACTACTGGATTGAATCGTTCTTACTGAATTAGGTGGGAGTAACCCAAATTTTCCCTTTGGTTTAGGGTTCACTGACTACAAGATATACATTGAAGAACTTCGATTATAATCGCTGCTTGGATCTACAATGCATTAACCTCATTTTACATTGATTTTAAATATTTCTTTCGTACTATTGCAGGTACTTGACCAATGATGGCATCGAGTACCTCAGGACTTATCTTAACCTTCCTTCCGAGATTGTTCCCGCTACTTTGAAGAAGTCTGCACGTCCCTCAAGTAAGCCAATGGGAGGAGACAGACCTCCCCGCGGTCCTCCGAGAGAGGGTGACAGGCCACGATTTGGTGGTGATAGGGAAGATTATAGAAGTAGCGGTGGCCGTGGGGGTGGTTTCGGCGGAGAGAAAACTGGAGCTCCTGGAGAGTACCGACCTGAGTTCCGGGGTGGACGAGGCGGCTTCGGTCGTGGAGGTGGAGGATTTGCAGGCGGTGCTCCAGGTGCCCTGACTGAGTAGTATATTGCACTCTCGTAATCCCCTTGCATTTTCCATCTGGGGTCTTTGAAGAGAAAGCACCTGATGAATTTTGGATCATTTTGGTGCTGCTTCTCTTTAGCGGCATTGAAAAGCTAAGTATCTCAGATTTGTTAATTCTGATGATAAACATAGATGAGTAAGCACTTAACTGTGTTTTACGAACTTGATTGCTGATTACCTGAGTTACTATGTCCTTTGCTTCTTATGAAAAAGCAGAAGGGCATTTCGTTTCTTTCTCATTTGTTCGATGATTATATCCACTTGCAGCAATGTACAAAGTCTTAATGACTGTTTTCAAGGCATACCTGCTGTTGGTACTATTTGCTAGATATTTCATAGAGTGAATTTCTAGCCTACAGTCTGGCTACCTACACCCCTAGTCGGTGTATCTTTAATTAATTCAACAGTTTTGTAGATGATAAGTTGCGAATATGTGCTTTTCAACCTTGCCATATAAATGGATGGCAAAAGGATTGGATACGTTTGTAGTCTTGGGGTTTGGTGACTTTTTGGACAAAATTTAGTCCAGTCCGCAAGACAAATAAGTTATTGATGCGGTACGTCCAATGAATAGAGTACAGTACGTGCGAATTGTGCTTCGACGACGATCTTGTCATTTTGTCTACATTGTCCGCTCTTGCGTATTCGAAGTTTGTGGTTGTACCAACGGCTGGAAAACCAAGAAAGATGGGCCCATCACGCTTTTTACGACATCGTGAAAAGCATGACTACTAGACTTGCTTCCATTAGTGAGTCCAGAACTGCACTTCTGGGAAATAACTAACAAATAGATTAACACTTAGTAAACGTAAATTTAGCTTTTTGGAGTGATGGCTCCAGACATTCTGGCACCAAGCACCACTTGAAGTAGTTGAAGTGGTAAAGTATCGGCCCGGTAATTCTAAGTACGAAGTGATGTGTAGTATGCTGCTCTCTATTGTGAGAACATCGTGATTATGTAATCATAGTAAAGGCCCAAAAATAAGAAGCACTTGGATGTTCAGGCTTTGGAGGTTCATAGAAAAAATTGTTGCTTGGAACGTCGTAATAACGCAGAAAACTTCACATTCGTGTTTGTAGGTGGCTGAAAACAGAACGGCTTCTACGCATGGCATGTCAGTCAAGTTTGCCCGTTATGATGCGTGGTTTAACCGCGTAGTGACAAAACCTCGACATGTAGATGTACAATGTTCGGTTTACGTGCAGTAAATGAGACCTTGATACCCTGAGCAGCGGATTTGGAATATTGATATATGATGTAGAAGCTATCAATTTCTTACCAAAGATATCATATTTGGATCACTCTGTGAAAAGCTTACATGAGTTCTCACCTCAAACATATCCTTGACATTTGTGATTTTGACAAATGGCGGCTAACAAGGTGAATTGAGAAGTGGTAGTGATGCTATTGTCATCTTTATTGCATTCAGACTGGAATTCGTCAAGAGGAAACATAAGCTGGGTGTTCAATTATCTCAACAGGATATTGACCAACGGAACCTGTAGCAAATACCATAACTCCAAATATTGCTATTTCCATCAATAATTTCGATGTTCCATCACTGTCTGATGTGACTGCCTTCACAATCCACTTCACAGCTAGAAGGATGATCGTGGGTCTCTCTAAGTGCTTCTGTCTTGATAAAGAGCACAAGCGTATCAGAACAAAGGCCAATTTCTCTTTCAATGTGGTCTGAAGAAAGGCGGCGGTGGTGGGGATGGCAGGGCATCTGCCTCCATGAACTGGGCCATACTGATTCCTAACGCACTTGGGAGTGTGCACACTCAAGGCGTCACTACGCAAGTGAATGGTAGTATCTATGGAATAAAATGGGGTCCAGCCCGAAACGTCAAGGCCCCTCGGTTGCAAATTGCCAGAAGCCCCATGTTAAGTCGTCCTCATTTCAACGATAGATTAGCTCCTATGATCAATTCTGTCTCCAACACAGATGTGCCTATTTTGTAACTCGTGGTGCAGACACCTAAACAAGCTCATTAATTACAGGAATAGGTTCATTAGACCTCATGCTCCACGCCTTGCAATTAGAAGTATTACAAGTACCCTAAAGAGGCCAATGAAGGGAATGGTCTTGAACAGACCTAAAGCAGTATGTATTTGACTAGTAATCGAAGCTGCAAAATAGGTCTACCATTTGTGATTTATTGTGAAGTTGAAAAGATCTGGTCTTAATGACTGGACAGGCCGTGCAGGTCTCCATTCACCAGGAGGTACAGGAAAAATGTGAGGGTTCAACAATAAAAGAGACACATATTCAAGACTATGATCCGAATCAACTGTTTGAGGACTAACTGATACCTCAGTAGTGAAAAGAATCAAGCTTGGCTATTCTATGGTTGGCTCTACTATGGGAGGAAACTCTATCCTGGTCCTGACCAAAAGAAGGGAAAAACAAGAAAACTACACATACATGACCCATATTAAGGTTAAACCCGATCTGGCCAGCCACGCACCCTCAATCGCTGTACACTAAAATTTTCGATGAAGGTACAAAAGTTGAGAATGTTGAGGACGTTGAGACAGTAATGTTACAAAAGTCGCATAATGCCATCAGGGGATATTTTCACCACCCTATTTCTGTTACTGATCTTCAATCCATAACACAGTTCTCACCTGCAGGATCTGGGCCAAAAATCTCTGGGCAACCATCCCATCTCCCTTTATCTCGTGCTTCCCAATAGCCTCCTATATATTCATAGGTATCCTTGCCCTTGCCTTTGCGAAACCAACGTGGTTGCCAGCCTTTCTCTTGAAGGGCCCGTGCCTGGTTCACCCAGCCTTTCAAATCAGTCTCCGAATAAAGTTACAAAAATCATCAAATCGAAGAGAGTTCACATTTACGCTGGCACAAAAGTGTTAGTTTACGCAAGTAGAGAACTCTGACATAAGCAAGAGCAAGATGGTAGTAAGACTCACTCGTCGCTGCTTTTGTTCAAGTCGCAGTTTTTCTGAATTGGCAGCATCATATTCACCATTCTCCAGATGTCTTTGATCAGGTCTCAACCTTGAATCTGTAGGTGGCAACTTTTCCTACAAAATAAATTAAATTTATAAGTAGATGAATGTTGACTCGTCTACCGATTCATATTTCTTATTAACTGAAAGGAAAAAAGAAAAAAAGAAAAAAAACAGCCATATATAAGTCAAATCTCTAGTATAAGCATTTAAGTCTAAGAAAATTGCAGATACTCACTCTCAGTCCAGGGGTCATCTCATTTGAAGTCATGGAAAATGTTGTCAATCCATATCGAGTCAGCTTCTCTGGTGGAGGAGCGGCCCGCCATAACAAAACAGCTTCAGACATGGGATCATAATGCTTTGGTTTCTCAGAAATGTCTCCCATTATGTAGTACATAGACTCGTCCCACTTGCCGAACAGCGTTGCAATCTTAATCCCACTTTTATCATGCACAAACCCTTGAACCTGCCAACACCAAATTCGCTAGGACAGGTTGATAGAGTAGACCTTGATTGGATCAAACCAAACACAACAGATATGTCTGAAACTATGAATTAACTAGGGAAGAAAGACGTATAAACGGAGGATTCGATGTCGTTAATTCTTCGTGAACGGATTGTACCATCCTTGCTGTAAGTAATTTGATTGAAATTCAATACCTACTTTTGAAACTGGCCGCATTCATTCAAAAAACAATCGCCGCTCTAAAATTCAGAAATAACTAGTCTAATTGTTAACTAGTACTGCGTGTGAAAGAGGCGGTGGAAGGTGCGGAGGATTGAATTAAGATGTAAAGAACCTGATGAGGGTTGCGATCAATTATTGACTGCTCCTTGAACTTCAATTTTATGGAAAGATGACGGTTGCCCTGGATGCGCATGGTACCGTAATGATCAACATAAAGCTTTCCTAGGATAAGGTTGTATATTGATGTCGTGACCTGTACATGAGGAAAAGGTAAGGGACATGAGCATAGTTACAGGAATCCTTTTGGCCACGGACATACATGAGTAAAATCACATTTCCGGATTGTAAATGCAGATAAAGCATTGAAAACAAGTGTCGGTAGTAGGCACAAGAATCGTGGGTCATCCACATTTGAACTTTTACGTATTCAGGACTGATAAAGTTAAGATTCATGTCAAAATTGAGAAACAAGAGCGTACCTTGGTCCATTGAAATACTTCACCGTCATCAAATTTCAACGTGAGAATACCGACAGGATCCAGTTGGATTGAACGACCCCAAAACTTGCTTTTCAAATTGCTGTCACCCCAGAATTTCCAGCCTCTGCCCTCGCAATGACATGCCACAATCATTGGATGATGACTCACCTGCAAAGCAACGTAGGGAGATAGAAGATGCAAGATGATTAACTTTTACTTAATCTAAAGCTCGAAAGATATGACAAAGAGGTTGCAAATTAATATCTCCAGAATGCAGAACACGGCCATCAACTCGGTAATGATATTTTCAGCAGGCACATAAAAATATGAAAAAAGTACCATACAATAGAGGATGGCAATCATGACACACCTTTTCAGAGCAGAACCTTAGACCTTTGTCAGGGTAATCAGCTTCGTAAGTTTCTCCAAGCAGGGGATTGAAAGGTTTACAAGTGCGACCCTCTGTTGAAGAATACCCTGACACTGCAAAAGCTCCAATGGATAGAAGCCTCATAAGGCTATTCCCCTGCATATAGATAGACGTCCAGTTATTTCAAAGAAACCTGGGGAAACAGAACAAATCAACTGAAGGATGAGTTCTTAATTTTGATTACAGTAACACGGCAAACCACTTCACTGTGTATTCAGGATGGGATAATGAGAAAAGTGAAACTCACCCTCCTTCCGTATTCAGCTGCCCTGTCTAAGAGGTAAGAATACTCCACATCTTCAAAAGCCCGCTGTAAAGATGAGATAGGTTCATTGAAGTAAACTGGCAAGCAGACCTTTGTCAGATCCTTGCCAATATTGTCCTTGATCATAGACCACAAACTCACATTCTTCTCTTTCTCCTTTGGATTAGGTAGAGACTTTCGTCGAGGAACTTTCGGATAATCAAATCCTACTATGTCCATGCTAACCTCACCGTCTGATGGAGATTCTAGGTGATGTTTAGGAGGATTAGCAGAACTCCTAAGTGTCTCCTTTGCTTCAAAGAAGACATCTTCCTCATCGTCAGAATCTACTTCAACACCACCCTTGTGGTCGTCATTGTCCTCATCTGACTCAGAATCGCTTCCACCTGTTCAAAATGCAATAACATGCATTTGCAATTGGTTACAATATGCTATCTCAAACCAAACCCAGCCTCAAACCAAGGTGGAAAAAATCTTAGTTGGATTTGTTGCTTGAGTTTACAGATCAGTGTTTACAGTTAATGGTGACATCCCAGAGGTGTCACACTGATAATAAAACTAGACTGCTGATTCTTTTTTAAAAGGGGAAGGGGGTCGGAGTGAGGGCTTGTTGTGGTGGAAATAATAAATGGGGCTTCATAGAAGCTTAATTTAAATCATCTAAACTACTAGCATAGTACGTTAATTAATATGGACATAAGATGGTAGATTGTAACACCTCACGACTACTGCAAAATGTATTGTCTCCACATTTTTCGGAAAAGGTAAATATAAGGCACTGAGTGAAGGACAGACCCAAGATAGACCAAAAACATCACCAAAGGCAGATGATAGAATATACCATAATACTTCTTCAATTCACGAATCTCAGCTCCGCCATGACTTCGCATTTCATCCACTACAGTTGTCTCCAATTCCACTTTCTCAGCCTGCAAGAGAGAGACCGAAACTATCAACAGAGCTGAATTCCATAAATAAACTCTGCAACATCTCTCTGGCTCTCTCGCTAGTTGAGAAGAAGACTGTCACCTCTGACAGATATCAACTCCATATCCACGAACACGGTGCTGCGAAAAATTTAACAAATACCCCAACTTCAAACTAAATATCACGACAGCGTACCTCAAGCATCCGCAGTCTTTCGAGCAAAGTCAGGCGACGCTGTTGAATAACTCTCAACTGCTCCTTCACATCGGCAAATTCTCCGAGCATGATATCCTCACACTCCTTCACTTGCTCCTCACTTAACCCAAAATCCAGAAGCTTTAGCCTCAATTTATCAGTAGATATGGTAATTTCTTCAGAAGGAGTAACTACACCAACAAGCAATGAACCCCGAGGGAACAGTTCCTTGGCCGCTTGCAAGATCCCGACCCAATCAGATCTGTCAGCATTTGTCTCTGCTCGAAGATACAGAGTCTTCGTTCCCGTGTAGATGTAAAACTTCTTGTCGTCTGACTGGCTGTAACGAATAGAGGACACCTGCGTACGATTAGAAAAGCAATTCTGAGCATGTGAACTAGATCAATTTCCGAGAAAAGAAGAATGATTCCTAGAATTGTCCATAAAACATAAAACTGCGAAGTCACTAACACAAACAGAGTGGTAGAACAAATTATGTGATTTGGTTTTTCACGAGCAACAAAAATGATGCAGCGATATCAGTCCTCAATACCACAACTAATCGGAAAGAGTCTCCGATTACTATAAATTAAGGACCGAAGACGAAACCCTAATGATGGTCGAAGCCGAGGCAAGTGCTTCACAAGGAAATATAGCCAACTATCCGAAAACAAGCAAGCTTTGCCTTGAGTCTAGTTCTACGCAGGCCTTCCTTCCAAAAGGAAACTCAACGAATTAAATAGATAAAATCGACTTTGAGCACAAGTCTAGAGGTGTAGTAAACATTGCGAAACACCGTGAGCTACACAGATTGAAACAAATAACAATCCAATTGTTGCATCCACTGAGCAGCCAAAGATGAACGTAGAGAACTCAAGCAACTCCAATTACTTCTTGAAGTCAAATATGGCATCCAACTACGGCAGACACATTGTGAAACTTGGGTAGAAACAAGACATGTTGATGGATTGATCAACAGTCATGCTCGTCCATAGAAAGCTGCTCATAACACTTGCTATGTATTATGCATGAGACCATTTCCTCTTGTGGACTACAGATTTAAAAATTCTGCTGGTATTCAAACTAGACACCCTCTTAGCGGTCAGAAATTTGTATTAAAAAGCCATGAAAAAAATGACTGCATAACAAAAAAGCTAAAAAAAAGTCAAAACATCCCTTTAGCAGTTTATATTTGCAAAAGGATCGAATCGCATTGCAGGGTTTTAACAAATGTTCGTTCTAACGTGTTTCTGTGAATAGGACAGAACTTATGACCAATGCTCTCTCTCTCGCTGCGTACCTTGAGATGGATCTTTCCGGACGCTTCGAATTGATTCTGATCTACGCTGTGAATATGCAAATGGGGATGCGTGTGCGGATTTTTCTGCTTCTTCAAAAATCTCTGAGCTTCTTCTCCAATAATACGGGAATTTCTAAACCGACTGTCGTTCACAGTAACCTTATCATGACCATGAACCTTGTAGTATGAAAACACGCCTTCCTTAAGTGCAAACAAACGAGGCCGCCATCCCTTCCCATAATTCACCCACTTATACAAAATCCCAACCACATTGTCGGTGAGCGCGCCCCCTTGAGGCGAGCTGCACACCTTGGTATCCATCACCTGAAAAAGCTCTCCAGAGAAATTGGTGGCCGTTTTCATACCTCCCTCCGGAATGACAGTGAAATTTTTTCCTGCCTCTGCAGATGGAAGGTCCGGCTCAGCCCGATTACTGTGCACGCTGTCGCTGCCACCCACTCTCCCATCGAGCTGCGGGGCACCAGCAACGATGATTCCGTTGTTATTTGCACTAGAAAAGGGTCCCGATTGTGCCATTGTTTGGCTTGAATTCGGAAGACTATGTTCAATACGATTACTAATACTATTGCTCTTCGGGTTCGGCAGGTTCCTGGAGCCTAAGGACGTCGCATTCTGGCGGTCTTTCGAGGATCGTTGCGGAGCACTGGGCTCAGACGGCGATAACAACATCTTGCTGTTATCACTGCCCCCTTTAGCTCCCTCTTTCTCCAAGGGAACAGGCGCGATACAACACAAGGAATGCATTCAAGCTTGTCTGGTGGCATGCATCCCCTGCTCTCCGCCTCGACTTCCCTTACGCCGAGACTCCACGTAACTCAAACCCCTCCAATCAAACTATCTCCCGTCTTCATCCACCGGGACCCACCGTTCCAAGGTCACAACCAATGCCAGCCCAGCACATTCCTCATAGCATCGTATTCCTCGATGGTATTCTGTACTCGCCCCTTCTTCCTGCTGCCAACCAAACACTCCACTACACGAATACACCAAAACAGATCTACTCAATTAACCACCACCAACGCCACCTCCATCATCGCCTACTTCGCGATCAAAGCAAAAAAAACTCTTGGAAAATTCACGGACAAGTCAAATTCTGCTCCACTCTGCGCACGCATTCCAAGGCTCGTTTCCGAGAAGCAGAATGCAGGAGTTGCCTCGACGAAGGCCTGACAAGCACGCGGAGCAACACAGAGCTGCCTTGCAATCGAGACACCCCCCGCAAAGGCGCAACACAACAACACAGGTGGAGGGGGCCCTGACTCTCGCTGCCGCCCTCCCCCTCCTCGCGCTCTTCCTTGCGCCGCAACTTCCCTTTCTCTTTCTCTGTCTCTACAACAACTTTTGGCAATGGAAGATTCTGGAATTCATATTTATTATTACATTGTCTGCTATTGTTATAAAGATATACTTCAAAAACCAACAGTGTTGATTTATATCAGTATACATTTCAAAGAATCTAAATTATTGCTGGAAAAACGTATCACATGTAGTGTTTGGTGAATTTAAGTCATGTGATGTATTAGTTTTGGTTGCTGGTGTTTTTATACAATGCTCTCTTTAAAAACTTTATATTTTCAATTAGACAAATTTTGACATTATTATTATGTTTGGTTTTTTTTAATAATATATATATATATATATATATATATTCTTAAGTTGTGATAGAAAAAAAATTTGATAAATAATCAAAGTCCAATCAGAGCATTAAATAATAACTCTAGCATAAAAGCTTATTTTGAAGTTTGTCATAAGTAAGGTACTTCTATGAGACATTTAAAAAAAAAAAAATTAATAAAAAAAAAATTAGAAATTTAAGGATTTTCAAAAAAATAATTCCAATTTATTTATCAACTTATTTATTTATAAAAATTAAAATTATAAAGATATTTTAATTCATATATTCTTTTGTAGTTTTAGAATTTCTACTTCTAATACAAAATTAAAATTATAAAGATATTTTAATTTTGTATTACAAAATAATATAAGAATTAAAAGAATTATTATCTAAATAACATCAAATAGATAAATTCTTTGTATTATATTAGAATGTGATCAATAATAAAACCCTTCATCATCATACAATTCTTAAAATCCATTGGTCTTCTTTTTCTAAAAGACATATTAATATTTAAGTAATATAGCAATAAATAAAATTAAATAAAATTTTATAAAAATAAAAAATAAAAAAGATATTTATAAAATTAATTTAAAAAATAGTACGATAGTCCCATTGTCAGGTTTTAGATAAATACAAAAGGTTTTATTTGAATTTGGATACTTTCAAATATATATATATATATATATATATATTTATTGATAAATTTTAGAGACCATTAGGTAGATAGGGCCATCTTATTGCATTGACACTCCTTATGCTATTGTCATAGACATATATATTTGCTCCAATAATTACTTATATGATTAAGTAGAAGTAGGTAAAAGTAGATTAATTTCATAATATCTTTTAGAGTAGCTTTGTAGAAGCTTCATAGACGCAATTTTGATTTTATTTTTGGTTGATTGATAGGTTAAAAACTTGGTCAACAAGTTAACCACATGTCATACGTATTGATAGCTTATAGAACAAGCTAACTATGTGGCACACTTGTAGAAAACTTACTTTATAAGTTAAGATATGTCTTCTAAAGTCTACATGTATTAGATGTCCTGTAGAACATTGCAACATAGCTCCCACTTAGGAAGTATATATGGAGGCAAGAGTGAAGTCTTCTTCACTCTTGTCAATGCCTTTCTAGTCTTTAGTCTTGTTTCAAGACTTTCTAATCTTCTTATCTTTGGCAATAGCCATTCTAGTTTAATACTATATCATTTTTGAGTAATTTTTTAGTTTTTTTGAGTGATATAATAGTGTATTGATCTTTTCGTTCTTTGAGGTTTATGTCCTTCACAAATATGCATCTCCACATTATTACAATAAATTTCTTATTTATATTTTAAAATTTTTTTAGAATAAATTTATACTATAAGATTTGTATACAAAAGCTTATGGAATTTTTTATATATTTTTATTTAAATTTAAATTAATCTTATGATTTTTTTTATAATTCTTTTATTTTTTATAAATATTATTAAATCCATTTAAAGAATAATTTGTTTTAAATTAATTCTAAAATATTTCATTGAAAATAAGAATTATGTAATATATATGCAAAGATGTGTGGCATAGAGTGTTCATTTAGCAACTCATTTAATTTTTTTAATAAATCTATAAAGATAATTACAAATAAGTAGAAATTTATTAAGTATTTGTATAAAATTTAATTTTTTTTACATATATTAGAAATAAATCACTATTATCAAAATATTAAAAATATAAAATATATTTGTAACAAAAAAGTTCTTTTTTAATTAGTTCTTGGCAAAAAATGAATTTAATTTATATATATATATATATATATATATAAAGGAATCATAAAAAAAATCAATTTTTTGTTAAAGCAATCCACTATATCTTAACTATCATTGTACTCTAGCAGCCCTTATTTCTATTCTTAATAGTTGTCTATTTCCAACTATTGCTAAAGATAGGGGTGAGAGGGTAGGAATGGGAGCAAGGGTTGGGAACGTCAAGAACAGGGGCAATAATTGGAAACAAGGGAATAGTTAGGCATGAAGATGGGATTGAAAGGATAAAATGATGGTTTAAACATGTGAGTTGATTTAGTAAAAATTTGAGTTGCTTTATTATTTCCCTATACACATACACACATAATTATATAATTATTATCATTATTATTATTACTTACAAAAATACCTAAAAACTATTTACTTAAATTTAATTTATGAATGTTACAATTAAACAAATTAATCACACAGTTGCAATGTAAAATCACACATGCATACTTCTTTTCAAAATTGATTGATCTCTAATATAATTTTTTTTCAAAAAACTTTGCAAAATAAAGCAATATCACAAGTATAAATATAAGAACATAAATAAAAAAGAATAAATAATGTTGGTGAATTGTATGTGGATGTATGATATTTCTTTTAAGCTATTTGAATTTTTGAACTTTGTAAAGTGCTTGCTGCCTACAAGATTTTTTTACATATATAGTGTTTTAATAAAAATGGAATCTTATTTAAATAAATAAAATTAGAACATATGTAACCTTTATCAATGTATTTTGTAAAAAAAAAGGTAAACTTTTAAACTTTCAAAGATTTACATGGTTTAGTGTACCCAATGTAATTTTTTGAATCCTGTTGTATATATATATATATATATATATTTATTTATTTATTTATGTATTTTATTTTTTTTACTTATGCTTGTTGTGTGAAATATATAAATATGTTTTCCATTCATTTTGTGTTCCTTTGTCCATCAGCTTTTCTTTCATGACAAGAACACCAAATGAAAGATGTCGATAAAATTAGATGAATTAAATTCACGCCACTTGTTACAAAAGGACGTCCTCACTTTTTGGTGGCAGATAGAGAAGCATCAAAAACAATAAAAAAAACATGGCCCACAGATATCTGACGTGTCACTGAGATGGCTACGGGTGACACGTAGCCCTAAATTCAGACCCAAGAGGCTTTACACTCATCATACGTCCCAAGGCTACAAGTGTAAAGTACATGAATATTAATATTAGTACATTAATATTAACATTAAAGTACACTAAGATTTTTATTCTGCTTCACTCAAGCCTTGTTTTTGTTAGTTGATTTCAGCAAGCTTAGATTGAACGATGGCTCGAGTCACGATGCCAATTCTCTCTTTGTGGTCTCGTTGTTGCACACTGGCATCAGACTTGGTCTACAATCGTGACTTCAAAGTGGACTTAAACGATCCAGTCAGGAACAGGCGACAGTGAAGGAGTCACACAAAGAGAAAGAGAAAGAGGAAAGAATAAAAAAAAGAAAAAAAAGAAAACACTGCATGATTGATAAGCTTGGATCATGCTTGCGGTGATGAGGTTTCTCTCCCTTCTAGAGCAATCATCAATAAAAAGAAGGAAAAAAGAAAAAAAAATGACTCACAGGTGACAGCAATTTCTGCCAACATCAAGTTGAAGTCACGAAGTAATGCCCTTTAAAGATAAGCAACCATGAGGGTTTAATGTGCATTTCTAAATAACATAAAGTGACGGGAATGATCTAGCGAATGCCTTTCGTGGCCGACTGGTTCTGATTACAAACTCTCATGTGCGAGAGCTCATTATTTTGAGATTCTCACAGGAATTTTTGATCTCTACTTCATGCGACACTGTCGGGTTCTACTGTATATACATGCTTCTGGAATGAGTCATTTGCATGTCAGGCAGCTGATCGATTGATTGGAACAGCGTGTTTTAGTTCTTGCATAGTCCAGAGTAAGAGAGGAGCGTTTCCCTGAAAGCCCTGCTGACGTCCTAATAGTCTACTTCAACAACAGATTCATCAACTGTTGTTGTGTACTTGACATTCAAGTTCAACCTGCCAACATCATCAAAACGTCAGTCAAGTCATGACTTTAGTGAATGAATTCAACAGCTCACTCGCACACGGAGAAATGCACCTGTGTTAGCTGCCTTCATGTGTATGGTGCAGAAACCGAATGCTTCGGATTAGGTTCTTTAAACCTGCATCAGTAGTTGATTGAATACAATGCAGAATCAGGGATTTGCAATGCTGAGGGGAAATTGGAATCCCAACGAAGCAGAGAAATTTTCTAGTCGATTTCAAGACGTTTCTAGAGTGCCAAGTACAACCTTGGTACTTCGGGGAGTATCTATTCAGGTGTGGTGAACTGTGCACATGGAGAATTGGGAGAATGTTGCGGAGATTATTGCATCCGAGCACACATTGGACATTTCTTCAGTGTCGGTTTAACCTTGGTACTGCCGATTTACTCTCGAAGTTCGAAATATGTTTATGAACACGTGGGAAGTTCTTACTTAAACAAGTCGACCATCCTTTGAGGAATGTGCAGCAATTGGCTCTAAATTGGGAGTATCACTAGTCTCCTTTGTAGGATTGCGCAGATTTCGGGGACAAATACACAAGTAAGCATCTTCATGAGGTCCAACTCGTATAAAAAATTCAACTAATTAACCATTATGTTTCGCCGGATATAATCGCGCAGGTGGGTGTGATCGTAATGGTCGGATGATAGCTTGTAGTGTAATACATGATGGAGGACTTGGTGGGCTGATGCTAAGTTTAAAGATGGACTGACTGCTAAATTTATTGAAGCATGTTTTTGCTTTTCAGCAGTTTAGATGGAGCAGTCTTTGGCTTTGATGAAGCACTCTGTGGCACAGCACTTCGTGTATCGACGTTTGGAGCAGAGGTGAAGGGTGGGGGAAAGAATCTTGAATACAGGAGCTCTCAAAATGCAGGTTGCTAGGTTATCACTTTCGCAATGGATCCTCAGCACACATGTGTATGGATTGGACTGCAAGGCATCCATCTCTTTTCCTTTAGAATATTTCTTGAGCTTGTTCACGGTCATTGGAATGTTATTTCATGACTGAAGTCTACTTCAAGAGCTGACAAGTCTTCGGAAGAGCTATATCGCCAAAACTTAGGAGTGATTCTTCGTTTGAAATCGCCCTTGGAATGCATTGGGTTGTTTCGATGAACTTTTTTCAGGTTGGAGTGAAGGCAGCACAATTTCCCAAGGTCAATTAGCAGGCGGTGTAGTTTTCCAGTTTTCAAGTGTACTAGAATCCACTACCACGGTGACATTAACCTCCACGTCGATGAGAGGTTTAACGTAAATATACTCTGAAGATTTCCACACCAGAATGTGATAAGCATCACAAAGAATTCCTAATTCTACTTCGAGAGGGAATACATTTTCGAGCGTCCGTTATAAAATCTACACCTAATCTGTGTGTAACTGAAACACCATATTAGAGGGTTTAAATGAAAGAGATGCTTCGGATTATATTACATAATTACAGCATTGTTCACCAGGTTTGTTTACCTTCATTGATCTGCAGAATCGTTTAATTTATTGTCCTAAACACATTGAAGTTAGGTAAATACATACAATTAAGAAAGCGAATAATAAGACAATTAAACGAAATTCAATTAATTTTATCGTAAACCAAGAGCCAATGATAAAAGAAACTGACCTCGAAAACAGAATCTGACCTCCACAAAAATCTAAGCACAACTCCTAAAAAGTTGATGTTAAATTTCAAACCAAACATAGATGCTGAGAAGTTTAAGTCGCTACCTGGAAGTTTCCAAAGATGTGAAGCACCTTCCAAAAGAAGCTTGCGAAGAATGACAGACATTGAAGACGGAGGAGGGAGTTGAGAATGAGAAGAAGTTAGGGTTTAGGGTTGAGGTCCGCCGGATTCGTGCTGACACCGAGATACATCGACACTTTACGAATATTTCTGTCGGTGCAGGATTTTTCTCAAGTGGGTTTGTAGTAGATGATGTAGATTGGCGGCATCTGCTCCCATGGAGTTCCTGCACGCCCTGCGGCGTCTGCCCAGCCCACCTCTGTCGTCTTCCACTTGAAACGGAAGTTTTAATCAGACATACACGACAGTTCGCGTTTTCTTTTGAAGAGCACGATGCGCCCTTGTATTCTAGTTCTGGACGCGCATTATCTCCCCTCTGCCCTCACTCGTTCATTCATGGCTGTTGCCATTTCTTGGCGCTCTCGCACCTCACCCCGCGTGCCTGTGCCTTCGTTGCAGCATGCCGTTGCTCCAACCAGTGTGTCCCCGTCCAGGCTCGACTTCCGGCTCTTCGCATGTGGGAAGCTCTCGGGGGGGATTTGCAGAGGGACGGCTCAAGCGCAGTCTGTTCCTGCCCCTGTCTCTTTCCGGCTTATGAGTGCTGTTCCATGCCGTGCTGCGAGATTTCCTACTCCTCGCCACTGTTTGAGTGCCTCTTATGCTTGTAGAGCTGCAGACCGGGATGGAGTTGCTGTGGAACAGAGTACTGAAGTCGAGGGGCATTCTTCTACGTCGCCGAGTAATGGAGACTTACTGAGGTCCCCGGCGCTGGAAAGGAATGATTTTGCTCGTGAGAATGTAGGGGGTATACACGTGATCATTGGTCCCATGTTCGCTGGGAAAACCACAGCCCTTTTGCAGCGTATTCGAGAAGAAGCTGATGCTGGCAGGTATTTGTCAGTATGTTTTTTAAAAATCAGTGCAGAAATAATTCCCATTACTTCCCTCAGTAAATACTGGCATTTGGCCAACGTTGTTTCATTTGGACCATGTGGAATGCCTTTGTTTCTCCTTCCCAGTATCCGTGGTATTGTTGCAAATTGTCGAATTGCGCATACGATCGAGCACAGAGCCGCTACTGGGATTGTAACCTGCTACATCAGTAGAACCGAATCGTTTTGTTACAGACTATTTTGATTCCCAAGTTGCTTAATCCTGCGGGCTGCGTCTTGTTTCGTATGTTCACCTCCGTATCTCCGTTTTTTTCGTCAAAGCATCTGCCTCCAGACAATGTTGGTTTTTGATAAGGTTGTGAACACCTGTTGCAGGAGGGTGAGTTTAGTGAAATCTGATAAAGACAACAGATATGCCGTTTCAGCAGTTGTCTCTCACGATGGGGTTCAAATGCCGTGCGTGGCCGTTCCGACTCTCGCAAGTTTTAGGGAACATGTTGGAGAAGAGGCATATAAACAGGTTGGTCAAGTTACACTACAGTTTTAATGAAGTCTCTGTCATATCTCTATGTTACACTCATCTTGATTGTTGATTGCAGATTCGCCTTGCATTGAGTTCTGAGTGTTCGTTTCCTGCCCACTTGTCACCTGCAGATGGAGGTTATTGGAATCGACGAGTCACAGTTTTTCGACGACCTCCTGGAGTTTTGTCAAGGTGCTGCTGACCTCGACAACAAAACAGTAATTGTCGCTGGCCTTGATGGTGACTTTCTGAGGTATGCTTTTTTGAAACTCTTCAGCAACTTAGTTCAAGGCAGTTACACTTGACGTCTGTCTCATGGCGGTAGCTAATAGGTTCTTCGCATTTTACAATGTGGAAAATTACCAATAGTTCATGGCTACGCTAATACTGGCACAGTACATACTCATGGCAATGCATAACACAGCCTCGATACTTACCGCAGACGCAGGTTTGGATCTGCGCTGGATCTTATACCATTGGCAGACTCGGTGACAAAGCTTCATGCACGGTGTGAGCTTTGCAATCAACCAGCTCCGTTTACCTTCCGCAAGACTGTCGACACCGAGACTGAGGTTATAGGTGGGGCAGATGTCTATATGCCAGTATGTCGACATCATTTCGTTAGTGGGCAAATTGCTGTCGAAACTGCTCGCAGTGTGCTGCAGGTCCATCAAGAATCTAGGCGATCGGCATTGAGTGTAGCCAAGGAGGTTACTGCGTAGCAGACCACCAACTCCGGTATATTATAATGCATCCAGGTTTTCCTTCTTCTGAAGGGGGTTCGGTGCAGAATTAGGATGGAGCATGTGACAACTCGAAGCTAGCAATTTTATCGTATTCTGCTCGGTTCTGGAGGGATCGGAAGGAAGCTGAATGGGCGGGCTTACAGAAAGGTTGTTGAAGTTACCTTGGGCAGAGACTTGAGTTAGTGTTCTGCTGTTGAGAGCAGTTCGCATTTATCTTCTCAACGGAGAGAATAGGGTGATTGGAACACACTACCAATTGTAGCTATTCGGCAGTGTCTAAGAGTTCCTCCAGAAGTTCAGCTACGAAGACCTCAAAGGATGTGAGTATGGACATCTTGCGGAGTTGGACTTGCATCCTCAGAATTTATGGCCACCACAAGAAGGGTTTGAAACGAAGATAGGTTCGTAATGAGAGGGGCTCTTAAAGTCGAGTTCACTTGCAGATCACGAGTACATTTGTATCTTTTATTTTAACAACCATTGAATAGAGGTTGTATACCAAGACTGAGTTGATGGTAATCGAGGAGAAGGGATACTAGAACAAGGTGTTTTTGGTTACAACGAAAAACTAGTGTTAATGTTCATCGTATTTCTATTGATAATCTGGAGTAATCCTGGGTACACTAGTCTGGAAATATCTCTTGTGGTGTAGTTTGAAGTTAAAACAATGAATCTGCTCTAATATGAGTAGTTGGTGTCAAAACTAAATACTTGGCTGGAAGATTTGAAAATACACTTGGTTGATAAAAAATTCAGTGAAATCAAGTGTCTGATATCCTCGTGATATCCTTTTGTTAAAAAAATTGGTGAAACGAAGTTTTAGTAATATCTCAGTTAAATTGAGTACATGTGACTCTTGCGAAACAGAAAACTAGGTGAAGATCGAATGAAGCTACAAAGCTTGCTACCTTGGCCCGTATTCTGCCTAAGCTCCAGCTTCCACCATCCTCTCTCGGACATTCGGACATTGCAGTGTTTGATCATTGTGTGTTATCTATCTATGGAGGTTCTAGCATTTACTAAGGACCATCCAGAAGCAGATGTCACCCAATAATACTGTGCAACAATCTACTTCTGATTTTATTTAAATATTTACATCAGATTTAATAGATTAGTTGTAATGTAATGACAGGTCTATTTTTATTTTTTTTATTGTTTCCTTTTTATATTAGTATAATTCATATTAGTAGATTCAAACAATGAGAGAATTAGTTAATGAATAAAAATATAACCACAAGTATTGTAGTGAGTTTCTTTATTTATATTAAACTATATTTGAGCTTCTCACTGAGTTGGTTATATTATTTTATGTCATAAATTTTTTTTTATGAAGAATGCTCGTAATATCAATGATACAATGTATAATACTAAAAAAAGAAGAGATTTTGAAGTGATGGATGAGAATTATAGAATCATTTTAGAATTAAAATCTGAAATAAATATTTCATAATCTTAAATGTTATAAATGATCTTATTAAGATTGAAGTAAGAAACTATGAAGTATAAAAGGAGATAAAATGGAAGCTTGTTAAATCTTAAAAAGATTATTTTAGAGAAGGATTGGCTCTTTGTTTAAGGAATTTTGGACATTCTTTGCTAAGTTATAAAAAGTCTTGCAAAATTGCCTTACAAGTTTTGTCCAACCAAAGTAGAAATTGTCTCGTAGCAATTTTTTGCAATGTCTTTCAATAATAATTCCATTAATGAGATCCATGTATAAATTTGAATAATTTTCTTTTTATAAAATTTCAATAGATTTCTAATATAATAGAAATAATATCAATATATATATATATATATATATATATATAATAGACAAATTTAAAAAAAATGATGGTTTTTTCTTGAGCATATTATACAATAAAGATATAAAATTGCTTAATAAACATCTCTTGTGCTATACACCCTTGCATAAATAGTCTACTAAAAATAATTAATTTTTTAAAAAATATGATTCTTAAATTATAAATCTTTTTATAATTATTACTTTAATACCAAAATTTTATATACCATTATTCATTTGTATTCTATGGCTCTATATTATCTCAACCTTCAATTCTTTTAGTTTTGATGGATTTATTCAAGTTGGGTTTATGGATGTACTTTTATTTTGAAGTACTTTCTTGATTTGAACCTTCGATGCAAAAGAATTCACAATTCTGTTATGATTTGAATTTATTTTTAAAATATTTATGACTATATTTTAAAAAAGTGATCAAGAAACAGTAGCAAAGATCAAGTTCTTATCTTTACAACAAGGATCATAGTTAGCCACCATATATGCTGAATTCCAAAACCTTACTTGTGATATAGACTGGAATGATAAAGCTCTTATCAATTAATTTTGATATTGATTCAAGGACAATGTCAAAGATTTGTTATTGACAATCCCAAAACCAAGTTCTTTGGAATAATTTATTGCTCAAACCATTGTATGTAATAATCGACTATTTGAAAGGCATCAAAAACAAAGATTTGATTGGAAAGGAATAAATCAAGTAATGATGGCAGCTACTAATATTTCAAAAACTTATTTATCAAAGCATGAACCAATGCAAATTGATATGGTATATTTTAAACCTCTCATTAAGGATGAAAAGACTTAATGTTGTTAAGAGGGTTTGGGCTTATATTGTAGAGAAGCTAAGCACACTACTCAACATCATCCAAAGAAGCAATGTAATTACAAAATGAAGAGTACAGTTGCTAGAGAAGATAATGTATAGGAAAATAAGTTTTTGCAACTATAATAAGGACCATGCGGTTGGAATCATGTGCAATACCTAATAAAGATCCTTCATTTTATTTAAAATAGATGTGTGTTTAGGACCTATAAATGACAATATCTTTGCGTTATTAGATTTAGGAGCCTCAACTTATTTTGTAGACAAAGACTTTGTTAAAAAACAAGAAATATTCTTAGTCAAGAAAACTAAACCTATACATATAGAAGTCATAGATGGTCATTTATTTTCTTTTAGAGATATTATCTATAAGACTATTCTTTTAGATGTAGCAATTAAAGATCATAATAACAAAGTAATATTTAATGTCATAAGATCTCCTTCTAAATAAGTTATTTTAAGATTATTGTCATTAAAAAAATATAATCTTCAAATTGATTGGATTTCTCGTAATCTTAATTTTTCTTGTAGTTTATTTCAAAATTTCTTTAGTTAAGTAAAAATACATAAATCTAATACATCCAAATTCTTATTGGTAAGTGCAAGAGCTTTCATGTATGTGATAAAGAAAATGGTCATCTTTTGCTATATATGCCACACCTATTTTTGATTGTAGAAAGATATCAAGTACTATTTCCAGCTTGCATCAAGATTTCTAAAAGGTTTTTAGAAATAAAAATAAAAATATTCTTTCACAGCATTGATCCTATGATTATTCAATTGATCTTCAAGAAGGAATTCAACCACCATTTGGACCAATCTATAGCTTATCACAAAATAAGTTGGTTCTACTAAATAAGTATATTGATGAGAATATGGCTAAGAACTTCATACATCATTCAAAATCTCTAGCAGAAGCTCTTATCTTATTTGTGAAAAAAAAAGGTAGATCTCTGTGGATGTGCATAAACTATTGAAGACTTAAAGAATAGGTATCCTTTATCTTTGATTTCAAAACTTTTTGGCCAACTCAATCAAATAAAGATCTATACAAAAATAGATCTACAAAAAGTATATAATCTAGTTTATATCAAAGAAGGAGATGAATGGAGGACTACTTTTCAAACTAGATATAGACATTTTGAATATAATGTCATGCCTTTTACAGTCACAAATACACCAATCACTTGTGAATAATATTTTTTGTGAGTTTCTTGATGATTTTGTTGTATGTTATTTAAATGACATTCTTATTTATTCTAAAAATATAGAAGAATATGAACTTTATGTTTGTCATATATTACAAAAATTTAAAAATACAAGATAATATGCAAAGATAGAAAGGATATATATTTCACACTACTTAAATTGACTTCTTTAGATACATCATTTCTAAAAAAAGCCTTATAATGGATTCTAAAAAAGTCCAAACTATCCTAGCTTAAAAGATTTAAAGAACAATAAGAGATGTGCAATATCTTTTGGACTTTGTCAATTATTATAAACTCTTCATTAAGAACTTTTTTCAAGTTGATACTCTACTTACATATTTGATTTGTAAACAAAACCTTGAATAGAATAAAGGAACAAAAGTATTGTTTGATGCTTTGAAGAAAGAATTTATTTTTGTACCAATTTTATAATGCATTGATTTTTTGAAGGCAATTTTTGTAAAAACAAATGCATCAGACTTTATCTTAACTACGGTATAGTCACAAATGAGAGCACATGATAAATTCTACCTGATAGCTTTTCATTCTAAGAAATTTTCAACAGTAGATGTCAACTACAAAAACCATAATAAAGAACTTCTTGCAATTTTGGATTCTTTTAAAGAATGGTGTTACTATTTAGAAGGCACTTTTAGTCTAATCATTAGTCTATATGGATCATAAGAATCTTAAGTACTTCATGTTATCACACATATTGAATCTTTGCAAAGCTTTTTGAGATATGTCATTATCAAGATTTCATTTTAAGATTATATATTGATCTAAAATATAATAAGGTTTGTCAAATATACTTTCTAAATATTCTTATGTGGCACCAAAAGAAAAAAATGTAGCTTTTGATCAACAAAAAACAGTTGTTTTAAAGTCCAAAATTTTTTATCTTCAAGCAATAAAATCAATATTAAATATTAATTCAACCTTTGTTAAGCAAATTCAATCAAATATACATTTAATCTTCTTTTTTATGATATTAAAAATACTTCTTATAAGTCTCATAATATTTCCAAGTTTGAATTTAAGAATAACCTACTTTATTTCAAAAATCACCTATATATTTTAGAAGAATTAGAACATTTATATATTCTTCAAGCTTATCATGATTTTCTAACTTAAGACATTTTAGTTACAATAAGACTTAGGAAAAGGCTATGAAAGACTTTGTGTAATCATCTGATATTTACTCAAGGTCAAAAACTCCTCATCATCAATTTATATGATTCTATATTTGTGATCATACTATTATGGATTGTCAAAAGATATTATATCAAGATTTTTTAAAAAAAAAAATAAGATATTAAAAGTGAATAAATAATTATCAAGAATTCACTGTGAAAAAAATCTTAGATTCAAAATAATATTGAAATAGGTTAAAATATCTTGTTTATTGGTACAAATATAATATTAGTGAATGCACATGGAAGCCAATAAAGAATCTTGCAAATATAATAGAAAAGGTTAAATTTTTTCATCAATGACATTAATTAAAATTAAAATAAAGAATCAAACAATTCTTTGCTATAAAAGAAAAGATGATCAATATAGATTACATCCTATCTTCTGTCCTTTATTATGAATTTTTTATATTTTAGTAATACCAATGAAATGAAGAATCTATAATTGGGAGATTCAACTTAAGAACCATTGTTTATTGACTTATCGATGTTGTGATGTAATATAGCTAATAGGTAAAAGATTTTAAAAAATATTATATTCTAAAATTTCTTATTTCAAAATATTATAGAAAATTATTTTAAAAATATAAATAATAGTCAAAAGATA